ATAATTAATGCGCCGTCGCGAGGTGCATCTTTCGATAATCAAATCTTGCCGAGGAATGTCGTTAGCGCGGAACTTAACATCACGGGTGGGCCGAAACGAAAGATCGAGCCCGTCTAATAAACAATTGCCTTCGTTCGCGGCGTCGCCCGCGCAAAGTGGCCTTATTTTTCCCCTAATTCCATCAGGCTGAAAGTGGCGACGCGGCGGCGCGGCGAAGCCCAAGAAGAGTAGAGACAGACACTCGACGGTAGCATCGAGCTGCTGCTGCTGCTGCTGCTGCTGCTGTTGCTGCTGCCGAGTCCTGGAGCGCCGCGTTTCTCAGCGGCTTTGACATGCAAATTGCCTGACAATGAATTTCGTAAAACCTTTTACCGCGGAGTGCGCGCTTCGGGGGTGGCGCGGGGGCAGCGGGACGAGAGAGAGGTGAAACGGAGCACGCCCTCTTGTGCGCGACCCTACGCATACATCGGCGGCGAAGGGGAGGAAAGAGGGACGGCTCGGGAGAGAGACGCCAGACGACGTCGCGGTATTAATCACTGTCTACCGGCGTCAGGCAGCTTCAACCATCTTCTCTCTGTTAAGCGTGAATCTTGTGATGCTCGAAAATCAGTTACTCGTGCCCGATTAAAACGAGCCCTCTCCCCGCGCGGTCGGATTGAGATTGATCCCGGTACCGCGCAGCGAAATGGCACTTAACATCGAAGATACCGATTACAGAGGGAATGGAAAGAAATGGGTAATCTTAATCGCGTGGTCTTCGTATCGAAGATTGCGCACGAACTCAATTTCAAGATTCCGCGAATAGGATCCTAATTGTACGATCGTCCTAATTGACTGCCACACAATTATTCCGATGTTTAGGTAAAGTGAAAAGGGACCGTCTCTCTTCTTTTTTATATTAGAATCTGTCGTTAAAAAAACTTTCTTTCGAGCCTTCCGTTTGATGGATCTGTTCCCGCACGCGTAAGGATTCAATTGCGCACGGACTCAATTTCAAGATTCCGCGAAATGATAGAATCCTATTCGTGACGTACGATCGTCCTAATTGACTGTTCCACAATTATTCCGATGTTTAGGTAAAGTGAAAGGTCTCTCTCCTCTTTCATGTTAGAATCTCTCGTTTAAAAAAATATATTTTCGAGCGTTCCGTTTGATCGATCAGGGAACACCCCCCCGCGTAAGGATTCAATTTTATTCGCTTTCCCTTCCCGATAAAATACCACATCGAATCTTCGCAGGAACTGTCTCTCGCGTCAACAGCTATTTTATTCGCATGGCCGCGAAGATCGTGTACGCCGTAAAAGAGATACTCCGCGCGCGTTGTCTGAATTGTAAAGGACCAACTAAGCGGCAGAGTGCGGGGGAGGAAAGACAGAGTATCCGCAAAATCCGCCCATCCCGTTCCGGCGAATTACGAGGAAGGAACGTATCGGGGATAGGGTACGGGGGATCAATCGGATTTTTCTGCGAACGCCAGTCCGTGCTCTCTGCACACAATGACGCGAGAGCGACGGTACCGGCTCGTTGAATCCCGGCTAGCCGCGTAATGGGTATCGAGAGACATCGTTAAGCGTCGATCGCCTCTCCCAAAGTGGCCCGGCGCCTTGATTCACCCTCCCGGGTCCTCCCGCCCCTCCTTACCCGCCGCTTTCTCCGTCTCGTCCTTCTATCTCGCGCCACGCTGGGCAAGGGTGCTGTAAGACTATGTCGGTGCGCGTTGACTATAGATCGCGATGGAGTCCGCGGAGGTGGTAGTGAAGCAAGATAAGGAGGGGGAGGAAGTGAGGAAGAAGCAAGAGCAAGAGCAAGAGATGGAGCAGGCGAAGGAGGCAGAGGGGGGAGTGGAAGAGGAGGTTAAGGAAGGTAGATGCGCGGAGGCGGAGAGGAATGGGGGATAAACCATGATGTCGTTGATTAATACGGTTTACCAGTAAGTGTAACGGAGTGTGCAGAACACGCGCGTCCTCCACCCCCTGCCCCCCGTCCCCTGCCGCTCTTTCGTCTTCCACCGGGGCGGCTGCTGCCTTTCCTCTCTCTACTCACCATCTCCGTCTCCTTCGCCATCGCCACCACCACCTCTGTCGCCGCCGCCGCCGCCGCCGCCGCCGCCGCCACCGCCGCCGTCGCCGCCGCGGAAGAGAAGAGCTGCCTCCCTTCCACCCCCGGCGGAATTCGTTGCACCAACCGGGAGCCACGTGCCGATCAATGGCGTCTTGCCGCTGGTTGGTCGAGCCGGGAACAACCCCCTCGCTCGCTTCTCCGTCTCGCCCTCCCGCGTCGCCGCCACCCTCTCTCGTCTCTTCCTCCACCTCCGACCTTCTCCTACGCCTACCCCTCCGCGTGCTTTCTCTCCTTTCTTTTTACTCCGCGAGAAGACTCGGCATGTACCCTCGAGGAGGGTTGATCCCATAAGAGAGGGCGAGCTTTTCTTATGAGGAGCATTGATTGCCAACACCCCCCCCCCTCCCCGTCCTCCCCTCGACCCTTGCCGCTGCCTTCACCCACTCGCGCCCCTTTACCTTCTCTCGCCCTTCTACCGCGATTCGCTTCCACTTCCGCGAGGCTACGACTCGTCTCTTTCTCTCTCTTCTTCTCGCGCGCCGTTGCATTATTTCTTCTACCTCTCGTACTGTGTTTTTACCGGTTCTACTCGGCGGCTCGGTCCTCGGCTGTTGTCAGTTATAGCACAATTATTTGTCTATATGGGATCGAAGGTCCGCTCCTTGATGCTCCGATGCCATTGGCGGGCGCGAGGATGGGGAACTTATTGCGCCGAGATCGAATCGCGAAGCGATATCCGCGATATGCAATCTCGCGGTAACGTGCTACACAGCACAGCGCAAAATAAGTTTTGGGATCGGAATCAGTAAATCGGACGTGGCTGGTGAATTGGAGCGAGTTGCGGGATAAGTGAGTTCGAATGTCCTTACGACCGTATACGGGGGGATGATGGCTAAAATAATTGTACGAACGAATGACTTATATACACCAGGATTCATCACATGAGAGAACAAGTTTATTCGATATATCGCTACCACAGTTCTGACTACACAGTTAATCGCTACCTTACGCTATACCTTTCATTAGACTATCTTTGATTAGCACTGACTATTTATCGGGAGGTAATATACAGGTCTCTACAAACAACTACGTCCGTTTCGCTTCTACGCCTTTCGCTTCGCGAAAATCCAGAGGGATTACGACATAAATGGAAGTATCGTTATCTCGTCGAATTCACGCGTAATTATCAAACCAAATCCGTTCCGTGTTCTCGCCTTCCTCCTCTGCGTCTTGATCGCCTCTCACTCTGGACGCCCGGAACGACGGATTTCGTTTGACGAATTACGATACTCGCAAACGTAGCAAAGATCTGAAATCGGTTAATATTGCCGGGCGATTGACGAATTTTTTTTTTTAAGGCATATAAGAGTAGTAGCCAACTCGAAACGAGTTTCTTCGCTTTGCCCACAGGCGGGGATTGAAACCCAAACGAGCTCCGTGAGACCAGTTCAGTTCAAGTTTATCCCCAAAAACGTTCGACCTTTTTTTTTTTCGTTTTCTATGTGTGCGACAGCAATATGGAAATCCGAACCGTGGTGGTTAGATCGGTTTCAACCCCCGCTCGTAGGAATTGTATGATGAATGCACACACTCGAGCCTGTCCGCGTGGCTTGAACGAATCGACTGGTCGAGCGTGTCGAGCAATTGAATATACAGCGCATCAGGCACGTGTTGGTCCGTCGCGTCTTCTTACTCGCGTGGAAGGAAACGAAGCCATCCGTGAACACTCCGCTACACGTCCTCGCACAGGACGCGCGGCCGCGCGTCGTCCTCGTCCCCGTTCTCGCCGCATTTGTTCTCACAATGTACAATGCAAACGTATCGCGACGTATTAGCGTTCCGAATTGAAGAGGTCAGTCAGAAATCTGGCCACCTTCCCCCTCCCTCTCCCCCCCCCCCGCAGAATTTTTCTTAAATGCTCCTCGCTATGATTAACGGATTCGCCAAACCTGTTACGATATATCTGGAACTTAACGATTCTCATACGTTGTAGACAGTGAATGGTGGCGATACAAACGTGTCTGGGTCGCGCGCAAGGCAATAAATAAAATATAAGTTCTGCATAATATGGAGATTTAGACGCTATTGCTGATTACATATGTGGGAAAAAGGTTTATGTGTCTGAGAATACTACAGAAGATTATTGTAATGCACCCCGCCTATTTACATCGCTCGCGGATATAACAAAGTAATCTGCAAATTGATGGTGCTGCATTATTCAACGGTTTATTGCATATGCAATGAGTATTAATGGTATCTTGTTTGTTTCCCATTTTTATTAAAATCCGAAAACGATAGAGAGCCGAGGAACACGAGGTGTAATCGCAAATAATCAATTGGTAACTTGTAAGGGAAAAGAGGCGCAAATTGAACGGCACTTTACAGAAAACTTTGCAAAATCGATCCCCCCCCCCTCTCCCTTCCGCTCTTACATATAAATGAAAACGAGGTTGATTGTCAAATTTGCTGCAAACGGAAATTTCTTTGTTCTAAAAATCAACGCGTTATATGAGCTAAAATAAGTTTCCATCAAGATTGCGCAAGTTCTTAACAGGATTTGCGTCATGTTTATTTTAACAAGTTGCAATCGAAGACAATATGAATACAGTTTGCAGTGTTTGCACGAGCCGCCTTACCGAGAGCCAAAGTTACCACCTCGTAGCACTGTGGTTCGTTAATTCTTCGTCGTCTTCCGGAATTGAGACCCTTAAACTCGCCTGAACTATCACAACGTCGAAACTCAGAAAAGCTTTTTTCCGTTTAAAAAAATACGAGAGGACTAAAATGCAATTATAATAAGGAAAGCACTTACAAGGATTGGCGGTATAACATCGATGAGTTCAATTTTCGACGCTGTACTTTTCAAAGTCCCAAGTCAACGTTAACTCAATGAAATCAACGACTTAGAGGAAGGGCTCAAACTTAAACTTAATAGAAAAGACTAATTCTCCCGTTAGTGTCCATTACTCGAAGGAAGCTAGAAAAATAATTCTCCATACATGGAAAAAAAGACGCGGAAACATATAACATTCCATATGTACATATGTATTTATGTAACACCCTATGTAACATTCTTCAGCTTGTATGTAGCATCGATATCCGAACTCACCGAGATTGTTATATCGCTGTCTAGCTTCGACTTTGCGACCATCCGACAGTGGAATATCCTTTTGTGACTTATGTCTCGCGTCTACGAGACGATACCAGCGTTTGTGGAGGCGATCCTAGGGATCTTCCTTGGTGGTGGGTTGTATTTGATGCACCACGCCAGGCAGGTGATGATGATGGTGATGCTCCGGTCGCCTGGAGAGGCCCAACAAGGGCGGCAGCAGCGGCAAGGGCAGAGGCAGGGGTAGCCCTCCGGGGAAGCCGGCTAGGCCACCGAGGAGAGCCGAGGCGGTCGAGTGTTCCTGAGCTTTCCTCCGGAGCTCGGCCAGACTGTTACTTCGATGGAGATCGGTGCCGGTGCCGGCGGCGCCGGGCTTGCAACAGCCGCAAATGGAACCGGGCCAGCCGGTCGGCGACCAAGACAACATTTCCTGAAGACTGCTCGGCCGATGCTGGTCACTGGTCGTCCACAACGACGGCGTCGTCGAGGTCAACGATGTCGACGCGCTGCTGACTACTTTATTACCGAAGAGCGGTGGTGAGAACTGGGCGGCCAGATGAGGCGAGAAGAAAAGGGACGTCGGCGGTTCCACCGGCCTGAAGCCTGCGCCTATCCCCGTGGTGCTGAAAGTTCGACGAGAGGGAAAAATGAATGTAAACGGAACATAAAAGTAGCATTAAGAACGTAATGGGAAACGTACGGCAAAGTGCAAATTCAATTTTTTAATTAAAAAATGGTTTGGAGCAGAATGCGCTCCTCTCGTGTTAATATTAGAATCGCTTACTGGAAAAATTTTTTAATAATTGGTAAAAATAGGAATAGTTTTATATTGCTGAAATGTTCTCGTTTTATCATTAGTCGCATACTTAGATATAGGGAAATTAATGCAAAAATGTAAGGTGCGACGGTTTGATTGAAAATTTCGATACGAGAGCTTTTTCTATAAGGAGAACAAAGCGACCTCGTTCTCCATTGATACTTTTAAACCACGATATACTGTTCGTTCCGAAAAGTATACTATTCTGTTTTTCTTACTTCGTAATTTCTTAAACTGACGACAATAGCGCAATTGACGCGCACTGATACACGTAGGACACAGAAACGTTTCAATCGTCACGCCGGAAACGATCCTTAACTCGTCCGAGAATTAACGCTATTTCAGGCACCGGTGCGATTATCGCCAAAAGGACGTCGCAATTTCGCGCGATTCCAACTACCGGCGTATCAGCGTAGCGAAAGCAAGAGACAGACAGGCAGACGCGAGCGAAGTGCCGGAGAGAGACGGAAACCGAGAACGGATGGTGCAGAGAGAGAGAGGAGGGGGGGGGGGCAGGTGGGAGAGAGAGAGAGAGAGAAGAGAGAAGGAGCCGCAGCCTCATAAGCGCTAATCCGATTAGCACGCGCGATGTTCCGCATCCTCCGAGAGGAGCGGAGGCTGCTTTGAGGCGCTGATGATTATCTCAAATATTAATCGCAAATATTGTTTAATTAATGTAACGAGCTCGAGTCGGTGCTCGAGTTGGAGCCGAGATCGGTAGGGGTGGGGGGGGGAGGGGAAAAGGTGGAGGAGATAGGACGACGGAGGACGCGTGGGGGCGGGCAGGAGTTAGGGCAGGCAGCCCACGGCATTTAGGTCGTTAGTGGGGTAGGCGGCGAGGGTAGGAAAGACGCAGTTCGTCGGCAGGCCAGAGTAACGGATTTCAGGTGGTTGCCTGGGGAAGGGGTTGAATCGGGCGCAAGAGGGAAAGGGGTGGGGAAGGGGAGGGCGGTAAACCGCGACGCGCGGGGGCGACGAAGACGGCGACGGCGGTGGCGGCGAGAGGAAGAGCCGAACCGCGGTAAGCGCGATAATTAGCGGCAATTAGCCGCGTAGTCTACCGTGCGCCTTGCCTACGTGCGCTCGTTTACTTGCCGCGCGCGCGCACACATGCAAATGCATACGTGCACACCGGTGCCGCGCTGACGTGATGGACGAAGCGCGACTTGGTGTATCCTCTCCCATCTTATCGACGCGTTTGCTCGGCACTGAGTTACGGTGTCGAGTTACGGTGTACGAGGGGTGACGGCTGAAACGCAGATTACCTCGCAGAAACGACGTAAGATTAGCATCCGCGCGCCCCTTGGGAGCGGGGAAAAAAATCATTGCGAGAGAGAAGACGCTGTAAATGATAATTTTTTTTTTAGCGAAGACACTAAGAGCGGAGGATGGAGTGAGATTTTATCAATTTGTAAAATTGAACGTTGACTTCGTCAATTATGACCGCGGTCTTATTCGGCTAATATAAAAACATATTATTATACATACAAACTGCATGTTGCAAATTGAAATTCTTGCATTTTTCCAAGTGGAAAATATCGAATTTGCCTCGGAACGTTGGGAATACTTTTTTCTATCATCTCGCATCCCTTCGTACACGCTTTTCATTTCCACGAATTTTCATTGTGGAGCCCGTTACTCAGTCGAACCCGTATGATCACTTTAGTTATTTTATTTAATATTTATGTGCTCCATTTTACTTAGGTATATCTAGTTTTTTATCCTATAATCGCTTCTAGATAAGTAACGACGTCGATAACTACGATATTACCTAGACGAGGTCGCGTTTCCCGCGTAATAAGACTCCATTAAAATCTTTATTTAAAATTCAATAACATTAAACGCTTTCAGCTCCGCCGGTAGCGAATATAGCGTGGAGCTAAAGCGAGTAATAAAAGTGACAGGAAACGATTTTGAGATGGATGTATTATCGCGATATCACACGCGCTGCAATTAACAATTTTTTTAAGTATCAACTTTAATCGACAGACTGGCGAACGCTTTTACGATCGTGTTTCGTCCAATAGCCGATCTCTCGAATCGGAAGATTTACGTTCGGCCGTTTTATCAACTGAATACAGGTGCGATTTCTAAAACAAAGTGCCTGCTTCTCACCGGGCTAACGCGGGCAACGCGTGTAATCAATTCTTACGCGACCTTCCAAGAGAATCCGCGAGACAAAAGAGCGATCTAGCGACGAGACAACGTCTTTGCGACGCGGATCCGCCCCTATACAGTAGCACCAGAAGCCAGTCGCTCTTAAGGTAGCTAGGTAGAGCTAAGGTAAGAAGGAACGCAGAGCTTACACCCTCCCCCTCCCCCGTCCGCCCCCTTCGCCCGCGACCCCCGGCAGCAGCTTCGCCGTTCCTCTGAATAAATGATGGGGATATATTTACGGCGAGCGGTTTTAAATAAATTACAACTGCGGGGACGGCGAAGGAGTATCTTCCTGCCGTTTCTTCTTTACCTTTTCCCTCGACCCCGGTACCAGCCCCCACCGTCGTCCCCCTCCCCGTCGGCCGCTTGAACCTCCCGCTGCCTCTTCGTCGTCTTGTCGACATCTAACGTGCCCTCCTCTCGCAGGCATTACGCGTATCCCGCTACGCGTGTTTTTCGGCATTTTTTTGTTCCCGTCCTCCACGTCGATCCGCAGAGAGACCCACGTCTCGGGGATTATAAACGAATGCACTGTCCCCGCGGAAAGAGAGGATCGCGAGCGGGATAAATCGCCCCTTTCCGATTCCTCGGACGTGCTCCCGGGCCCCCTTATGCGCGCGGCCGATGAAACGCGTCTCTCGTAGAAATATTTTATGCGGTACAAATATTTTTCTATATTTTCTGTGCGCGCACACACATACGTCAGATTCTCCTTTATAATATCTCAAACATTGATAACATAAATAGATATTTGTACAAACAAGTATTTACGTAGGAAGTGAAAAGAGAAATATGAAAATATGTTTTATCATGGAAGATGATTTATTTATTTATTCATAAAGGAATTATTACTTACGGCATTCGTGCACGTTCAATTTGACGGGTCCAGAGAAAAAAAAACTGTACGTTTGCTCTTTAATAATCTGCACGTTTGTAAAAGTCAATAATTTTTTCGAAACGCTTTAATCCGCCTGCCCCTGGAACTCTACGAAATTTCCGCGAAGACCCGTCCGCAGCTCTTTAACCTTTTTATCCGCTGCAAACCCTTTAGCCCGTCGTCTCGACGACGCTTCTTTCCGTTGACACGCGAGTCGTAAACGCGAGACGCCATTTAGTTTCACGAGACAAAAGTCCAGAGCGAAAAGCGGCGCGTCCCCGCCACTACCGCCGTCGCTGCCGCCCGTGGAAGCTGCAGTTTAACGAGGCGACGATTATCGCGATTATACGAGTGGCTGTGACGACGACGCGCGGGAGAGGCGAGGGGGCAGCGATGCCGGGAGAAGAAGCGGCTTAACCGGCGGGCGTCGGGGGCAGCGATGCCGTCACGAAGAGTGGTTTAATGGCGCGTATCGAGCATCCGGCCGGCGGTGTTCAGCGGCGCTTGCACCCACTTATTCGTTGAAATCGTCCGAGAGTTTATAAGGGGTTGGGGACGGGAGGGCAGGCGGTAGAGAGAGGAGCTCAGGAAGGAGGGGGAGGATATTTCCTAAAGACGTAAATACAAACGAAGCTAAGAGCTCACCTCTCGGCGGGCGGTCCGAGGCCCCCCACGGTGCTCGGTGGCGGCGGCGGCGCCCTTATGGGGGTCGGTGGTGGCGTCGAGACGCCACCCAGGGACGGCTGGCTTGGCTGAGGCCGGGGACTGACCGAAGCGGAAGTCGTGCTGGGGCTCCTGGAGCCGCCGCCGCCGCCACCGACCCCGGTACCCTCCGCCACGGCGTCCTCCGTGTCGGCGGCGCTGCTGCTCGTCGTGGTGCCCTCCGGATCGTTCCCCGTGGGACTCGGACCCGCCGATGAGGACGTCGGCGCGGCCAGAGCGGAGGATTCTACGTTACCGCTGCCACCGCCACCGCCACCGCCGCCGCCGCCGCCGCTGCCGTTTCCACCCTCGCGTTTGCGTTGCTCCTCCTTCAGCCGTTCGCTCTTACGCCATTTCGCCCGCCGATTTTGGAACCATACCTGAAAATTACGATCGCCGCGGTTAGATTAGCCTTATGCTTAAGCTCTTTGGGGAATCGATAATGAAAGCGTAACTTTGATGCGGAAGTTTTCGTTTTATAAGTAAAGTTACTGAATTCACCTTTTTTTTTGATGAGTCAATAAATTCTGTATGCCCGGAAAAGACGTACTGCTAATATTCAAGGTTTGTTAGTTTCCAATTCATTGCTAATTAATGCGCAAACGTGTCGAGGAAATTTATTCAAGTATCTGTTACGCACTCATTGTCCCCCAATGTAATGACAACCCGCGTTTTTTATTTTCTGTCTTTAACCCTTTGAAGGGTGGTGGTAACCCACGTTACTATTTCAACTTCTTTACTTTTTGGCCATTTAATTTCTAGTTAACACATTTAGGTCGGATTTTTGCATTTTTTGGGTATCTTAGCGAGAAAAGAACATAAAAAAAGTTGAGTAGTCTTTAATATTTACTGTAAAAGTTTTATAACTAAAGAAATATGAAAAAACAGCAGCAATTTTTCCGGAAAAATTCATTGCTAACCAAGTTTTTAAAATGATTTCTTGAAAACTTTACACAAAGGGATTTTCAGAGTCGCCCATTACGAATCTGATGTCAGATTTTCAAAATTCAAAATGGCCGACCCGAAATGGCGGACGCAAAGTACGTGAAGTTTTCAAGTTTTTTAGCATTTTCGTTTTGATTCCACGGCTCCTAACAATATCTAAATAATGTTTCTTAGCATAGTTGAATTACAGTTAAATGATATTATTTTTTTTAGTTTTGAATTCCGTCATCTCGAATCCGCCATTTTGAATTATGAAAATCTGATAACGGATTCGTAATCAGCGACCCCCGAAACCCTTGTATACATATAAAGTTTCGGAAAAAAATTGTTCAATAGAAAAATGTATGCCTCGAAGGGTTAATATGTTTCATGTCTTTTCCATAATGCAATTTTTGGGTTACGCTAAATATGAATAAATATCATATCGCGATATACGTGTATCCAGGGAAGCTAAACTTCTCAAAAGCCAACTTGGCGGAAGTTTGCATAATTCTCTGATTCAATATCCCCGACGTCTCACAGTCATCCGACTGTGCTACGCGCGCGGACGCGAGGGTTAAGTCTCGCGAAAGTCACAGGAACGACGGGAGAGGCGGGAGAAAAATGAGACGGACGGACAGTACCTGCCGGCACTCCGCAGCGTCCGCAAATGTGCAAGGATAATTGCATGCGCGGAGGGGAGGTGGCATTCTGAGGCAGAGAAAAGCACGAGGGTGCGGCAGGTTGGTCGGCGAATGTGGGGGGGGAAGGGGTGGTCGTTGGGAGGCCGGGGGGCACTTTCCGCCGTGCATGTTCAACGAGCCGACAGCAACCACGGCGGCCGAGTGTTTTTTAAAAAGCTCGAGTTCCGCTAACGAGGCTAACTTGACATAATACCGGCTGAAATAGACTTTATTACACCCAGCGGTTCTCCGCCGCTGACTGTTGTCCCGACAATGGGTGTACGATGACCGGGTCCTCTCGCGCGGAATCCCCGTTCGGCGCGCCGGACACGCCAGCCAGTGTCGTTTTTAATCAGAGCTATTTGTTCGCAGACGTGAATTAGTTGATTCGAGAATCTCCTTAGTTAATAATGACCGGTGCGTTATATAAAGTGATGTCGCTTAAAAAGAAAACGGCACAAGTTTCACCGAATAACTGCACGGTTTTCGAGGGAAGTCACTTTGAAAAGGACAGATTGTGTAAATATGTTTAAGAAAAGAACAGAGCGCAGAATTACACCAAAAAAGTCCTTAGCAGGAAGAGCTGAAATAGGATTGGCACATCCTATTCTGTGTAATGGGTCTGGAAAATGATTATCTTACATTCGAGCGCGGAACTTTCGCGGGAGGAAGCTCGGAAGATGGTTTAATAAAATAAATACGATGGGCACGACTCTCTACCGCCACCTCGAACATCGCGGGAGGGTGGAGAATGGGGCAGGGGGGGAGCGACGGGGAGATATAATAATATCCTAAGGGTTATGGGGAGGCGGACGAATAATAGCTGAGAACAAAGCCACGGTTCCGTAGGGATCACCGTCGTTTTCCTTTCCACCCTCGCGCGATATCTCCTCCCCACTTTTTTTTTCAATACAAATTTAATCTGAAATTCGTTGATAATGGCCGTAAAATGTTTTTAATCGGCCGCACCCCTGTTGAACGAATGCGCCGCTCTTTGCCGCGGGATTACCGATCGCACGTATCATTGTGATGCGCTTTTTTAAAACGGTGACAACTACTGATTAATTCACGGAACGCTGTTTTTTTTCAACAGCTTGTAAAGTGAAAAATGTTCGCTTTTCAACAAAATTCTCGTTTATAAAAATTGTCTCTCTCTCGTCTCTCAATTGTTAACGCAATTGCGTGTTCAGATAATTTCTCATCAAGAGGAAAGTCCCCTATTACGAGACACGCTCCTAATATGAGATAGCGGGGTTTCTGCCTAAATTAATAGACGTCATCTGGTGGTTCCGCCGTGAATTTATTGCCCTTGGGGTGAAATCTGTTTGGTGGAAAATTGATTCTTAGATCGCGTAATCGTTGCGTGAAAAAGACTTGTGGTTGAATTTGGACGTTGAAAACCTACTGTCTCATAATAGTGGACCTTCCTCTACTAACACTTACATGCCGGTCGTGAGCTATTGTTCCCGAGGCACGCGACCCGTGGTATGTAAAATTTTTCTGCACTTTGTAACTCCAAAGAAGCGTGGATAACTACGTGAAGGGAAGTGAAGAGTTCCGCGAAATCCAATCACCGAAAATAGGAGAGCCAACGTAATCGCGGTGCCCAGCATCCCCGGTCCAGGGGCGCGTCGCACGAGCGCAGGTGCGAGCGGCGTTTGACGCGGCGTGGCGCGGCGCGTCTAATTCACGCACGCCGGTAATTGCCACCTCGCACATGCGTGCGTGCGAGCATGTGTGTGTGCGCGAGCGAGCGTACGCGTGCACGAGGAAATATTACGCGCGCGCCGTGTACGACGAGATGTCGCGTGGTACGTGCCTCGGCGATACAACGGACCCTCCTTCAACTCCCTCGCCCGTCCCTCCCCCCCGCCCCCCCTCTAGGAGGTTCTAATTGGAGCCTGGAGAAGAGGACGGGCGCTACGTAAACGCGCCTATTTGTCCATTATTCCAGATTCCCTTTGTCTGCGCTAATGAAACAATGAGTCTGCGCCGTAATTGCGTCACAGCCAGACCAACCGCCTCTCCCCCTCCCGTTGCCCGCCGCCTCCCTTCTGCCTCTTTCTTCGTCGCGTGTACACACTGTCGTCTCTCTCGTAAAGATTGCAGTCTCCTCGGCTTCGTAAATCCGCACAATGCACGCCAGGCTGCTGCCTCTTAGACTTTGTGATCGAGGATCCTTCGCGAGTCAGGATATTAATGACGGGAGGGCGTAGCGCCGGGATACTTACGGATCTCTTTGTCGGATTCGTCGCGGCACGCGAGATATGTCCTACTATGCGTAATCAATAGAAAAAAATAAAACGTATGCGTGAGAATAATCGCAGTAGCCAATCCACTTGATGGCGTTGCAAATGCAGAAGGAGTTTTCGATTACCGAGGTACACTTGACTTGGAAATTGGAAAAACTGTCGGACGGTATCGCCCGAAATTGAACGGAGATGCACGCTGGCGTCTGCCGAGAAATCAAAAGCCGCCATTGGTAATCAGATATCCTCTGCAGATGTTCCGACAGGATTTTAGGCTGGAATCGCTGTTACGCTGCAGGGATTCTCAGCGCGAATTACAGCGGCGTGAGTAAATATGGCCGTGAGGACGTAGCCAGGAGTACAAAGTAATCCCGGAGATTACCGGCTTACTCTGTCAGAAGATTACGTCAGGTCGAGGGTGTCAGCGCGCCTCTTGGGGGTCCCGGCTCCCCCCCCCCTTCCCTTCGTCCTCCCGCTCTGCTCGATTCACCCCTCTGTATACACACGCTCGCGCTTTTGCGGCAACACCGTACGGCCGTAGACAATCGATCATAGTCGCGATCTTTTACAGATTTTCCTTTTAATTTTCAATCGGCTGTTGAAGCCGAAATATTTTCATCATCCTGACTAAATCTCGCGCGTTCCCCAACTACGTCGCGTAACGTCCATGCATAAAATATACGACGCGTTATTTTTCGTACGATAAATTATAAATATGGGCAAATTTTTAAAACCGGGAGTGGCAAAGGACAAAAATCGATTTAAAAAAAAATTCGTTGAAATTTCGCTTTGGATCGCGGAATCCGGTTTACGCATATTTTTCGCGATATAATCATTTGGATACTAATGGATACGTAGGCGGGTAATACGTTCTATTGTGTGCTCCGCGAGATATTACGCAAAAAAAAAAAAACGTAAAGCGCGAAAAATGTTCTCGGAATTTCTCTACTTAGCGCTACGAAGGCGGACAAAAAATTACCGGGTTGCCGCGCGTAATTTTCTCATCGCATTAAAACGCGGAATCCAATCTCAATGCGCTGAGACGCATTAAAAGATTAAGCTCGCTGCTGCCAATGCTCGGACACGAGCATGCGAACATTCTGTGAAGTTTTAATGCACGTGCTTTCATGTTATCGAATAAACGTGATTATACAACGTGATTAGCATACTTTCAAGTAACCTGTTTTAATATATCCTTAAATATAATGCACAGTGCTTCCGCCGTGAATTTATTCATCTCCCTTATTCTAATGGATCTTTTTTTTAATAATATAACCGGATCACGGACATTATTACATTATATGCAGCAAGATACTTTACGAGAACCGGCAAAATAGAAGTGAACAAAGTAAATAATTATGTTAATAATAATTCAGCAACACGCGCGGCCGCTGTCTGTATATTTGAAAAATATTCATAATCCGAAAAAAAGAATCTAATCAGGCCGCGGGATCGCCAGACTTATGGGATACAGTTGTACAATTGGATTGAAAAGTTCGGTGGCAGGGGCGAGGTCTCCGCACGTATTATTATCGTACTCACCTGTACTCTAGCCTCGGTGAGATTAATCTTCATGGCCAGATCTTCCCTCGTGAAGACGTCCGGGTAGTGAGTCTGCGCGAAGGCGGACTCGAGTTCCTCCAGTTGCTGGAGGGTGAAAGTTGTCCTGTTTCGGCGCTGCTTCCTCCGCACGAAGGAATCCTCGCCAACTCCGTGCAGTGCCGGATGATAGGCGGAGTAACTAGTATCTGTAACGAATCCGGGAAGCGTTGCAAAGTAGCTATTTATTTCGTGCGCTCGTAGAGCATCGCTTCTGCAATTTCTAACTACTAATTTGTGCGAATTTTATTATTCTGCGCAAGTACCCAGAGCACGGTAGGCGTTGACAACATGAGTGACGACGTCACGAGTGATAGTAAATAAATAAGTGTACAAAATATTTTAAATTACTTTTTACCTTAGTTGTACAATGCGTTAATTATATAACGTTAACAAGTTTAATTATATGCACATTACATATGTGTCATAGTTTAATTATGTAATATGTTTAATTATGTAACATAATTAATGTTAATAACGTGTGTTGCGTCGATATAAAGAAAATATTTTCACTTCAGAGGGACGAGTTCGACGAAGTTTCGCCTTTTAATTCTTGATAGATTCGAATTTGCGAAGTTCCAGGAGAACTTAGTTCGGTACTCCGCATATTTGCCTGTGCTTGACTAGGGTTTGCGAAACTCGGTAACTTCAAGAAACTTGAGAGTTACTGACAATCTCGCGGAATTTTCAAATTTATACGGCAAGCGTTATTGCAAAATAAAATGATCAACATAATTCCTTGCTTTTTCGCGAGGAATTTGGGCTAGCTTGCATTAGCGCTTATTAGTGCGAGTAAGTTGTTGCGTTAGATGAAAGAATAGCCGTACGCAGACACACGCCCGCCCATATTTGTCTGCTTCATTCAATTCAATTGAAATCAATTTAGCAAGTGTAATAATTAAACTCTTTGTATCGAGATACATCTTTCGCCACATCTTCCCGCCTTTCGGAAACTGTTAATATACGAACTCGGATGTTTCATCAAGATGCTTATAGTATCGTCGTTTGATACACGAATTGACATTTGAGCAGAACTTTATCAATATACAAGTATATTGCTTCTGCCGTATTTTCTGCCGACCCCAGCACGAACATTTTGTTTCGCCATTGCAATTACGCGAGCAGACAGGGCGTATTAATTAAAAATGTTGAGGGAAACGTGGTTAACTGTGATCGCGCGCGCACACGAAGGATCGAAAAGTGAAGCACCGATATAAAGGCATCGGTCGGATACACGCGCATACAACGAGACGCGAAGTGGGAGCAGACGTTACGAAGCGGCCGGAACCGCTCATCAATGATGCAGAGCAATCAGCGCAATTAATTACCGCGGCGCTAAGCCCCGGCTTAGCGAAAAACACAAATTAATTTCCTAAGCTCATAAAAATTCATGCCACTCTCTCTCTCTCTCCCTCTCTCCCCCCCCCCTC